ACGAAATGACTCGGATTCGGAAAGCTTGACTCGTCCATCTCTGTTGCCAACCGCCTACGTTTATTCAGTTTTTTGTTTCACGGCACTCAAAGGCATGAATACTCGTGAAAGGTAATATCTAGGATAGTTGTCTGAACTATAGATTATAGCGGGAGTTCAGGACAACTTAAAAAGACGAAAAATGAGAAAAGGAAGAAGTTCGTTTTTTCGTAAAAACAAACTTGGTCGATGATGTGTGATTCTTATTTTAGCAAAACATATTTGAGTGAAAACAAATTCGTGCATTAGATAGAATGCGAAAAACTGTTACTAGAAGGTAACTTGATCTTCTTCAAAGGTCACAGGTGTGACAAAAATAAAACTGCGGAGAAATTTCGTGCTGGAATCACGCGTTCAAAATGCCACGTTTACAAATTCAGATGACTCAGGCATCTGAGTACAGAAATTAATTTCTTTTACGTGAAAAATAAGTTTATCTGTTCTACTTTCGACCCGAGTCACACAGTGGTGGATCCAGGATTCTACCGACAGGGTGGCGATTTCTAAACGATGTCGTCCGAGGTAGTATGAATATTCTTTCTAAGGAAGTCTGGTAGTGGCAAGGGGGAAAAAGCATACTTCTGCACTTCTCGGTACTTCTTGATACTTCTTCGTACTTGCACTAAAATTCCATTTGCAAGGGGGCGGCGGTCGCCGGACCGCCGTAGTGCTAGGTCCGCCACTGGAGCCACAAATGGAACAAAGAAACAACTAACCTTCACCCCGAACAAAAATGAAAAGCTCATCGGTGCGCTGCTCTTTTACGGTTCAAGGCGCCATCTGTTTAGAAGCCGTTTTCTCTAAAAACTGAACGCAAAACGAAGATAAAAGAATGCACTTTTATACATTATTGACTATCTTCTACAAAATATTAGTGCCAGTTTTAGCCCCATTTGTAGTTCAACTTTGACATAAAAGTCTACCATTACGTGGACTGGCTGAGAACAGCTTTTTACCAATTTAAAATAGGATCTTTCAGCACAGAGATATGATACATATTCCAGTATAGCAAGATTACTTTTAGTACATTAGAGTGACTAAATGGATTTCGTTGCCAGTCACTTGCTAGACCATGGCACAAATTGAACTAAAGCTGTTCTCGGGTAAAGCACGTGACACGGTTACGTAAGTGGCAGAATATTACACACTCAAACGTTGTCTATTGGGAAAGTTTGTCAACCAGTTTAAACAGGGTCTAAGAGACTTATTTGTGTTGTTTGTTTGTTAAAACACTTCTCATGAGTCCATGTCTGGAAAGATACGTGATATGCGATGGAAAAATAGTATTTGTGGGCTGATATAATGAGGAAAATCATATCGCAGTTAGAGCTACTGGTAGAATGAAAGCGATGAAGCAACAGAATACGCAGAATGCGCTATATAGCGCCATGAAGCTTAAAAACAGCCGTTTTTTCCTTTTTCATAAAAGGATCCTTTAAAAGGCTCCTTTTATGACTACTCCTGAACCACAAAGTCAATATAATCTGTTTTTTCTACTATGGAGCCGTCTATACAACGTTACATAGGTTTATGTGGTCTTATGCGCCACTCGATTCCCCTCGTCAAGGTCTATCGAATAGAATTTGATATATATGTTTTCAGTTCGCTTTCACTGGCATTTTTTTTAAATAACCTTCTGAAGGCTATAGTTACACATGAGCGCCCTGTATCTAGGCTATTATGCTACCAAGTGTTGGGAAACTTTTGTCTGATAAACTAGGAAGGCAGTACAAGAAAACAAACGACTCAGAACTGTTTTATTCTTACGTTGAATTTTTTATACCAATTGTACAAGAAGATACGATGCATTCACATATATATGTGTCACAATAAGACTCAGCTGATTTTCGCATCAGTGTATTATTCAGAAGGTCCCATACAATTCAGATGAAGTCTGTATAACTGCGCTATACACTCCAAAAAATTACTCAGTGTAAATTGTCCTGCAGGCTGCATGTTGTGTAAAAGTGCATTTATTACACAGTTGTTGTGTTCTATAATCCCATATGTTCCCTGTGTTGTTGAAAACGAGACGTTGATTCTCTTGCTTTCTTCATTTGAAAAAAACAATAATACGTATAGTCGAAAGATGCCCACTGTTACTGAGTATGGTTTGTTGCAGCTGCCCCATTATCAACCAGTCATAAAGGTGAGTGAAGATGTAGCAATAATGTGAAACTCTTGAGAAGACATAGACGAGTGTCTACGAGACTTCGTTCTTCTGTCAATCTCATCTTTTGATATTTCGTTTATCAGAACCAACCGGCATCTGTAATCAAAGTTCTTGATGTACATACATTAAACAGTGTTACGAGCAAGTAAGTAAAGTTGTTGCTTGGCAACCGCGGGCGTCAATACTATCCATTGATTTGTAACTTAGATCAACGTCCTTTCTGGCGTCTACCAGCGGAAAAGCTATAGTGGTTGCCTCGATATCAGCAGTGATTATTACAGTTGCCGTTATTGTGCCCGTGGTGATCAAAACTTCAACATCTTCGTCAACTACTACCAGTAAGGTTAGCGGAGTCTATGAAATACGATGCATCCTACAAACTTTATTGTTTATAAATTACGAAGAACATTCATTTATCAGTAGAGAACAATTTTTCAGACCTTCAGTTTGGAATTTATATGTTTAAATATAAATCCAAAATGCAATAGCATCTGTAAACTAGTTTTTGTTTCGTCTTTATCGAAATCGTGTAAATATTATCGAGTACTTCGGAATGATTTTGTTGATTTCGACTGAAAATGACGGGATTACGGCATTTGTCCACTAGTTGTAGGAGAAACACGATCGTGCCAAGTGATGGTTTGACTGAAGTTTTCTCGAGCCATAAACGAAGATAAACAGTGGCACGATCATTAAAAGTATTGCTTATCTATTAGGCATGTATCGAACCCGAACGTTCGACTTCTGCTCAGGTTCGGTTCTAGCGTTCGGATTCGGTCTTGAGTATGGTCATTTTCAGTTAATCAATAAAAGGGAATCGAAATAAGCCAAAAGAAAGGCTTTCACGGTTGGCTATGATAGGTCTACAAACAATGAAGTATATGACCCAAAAACTGAAAGATGGGAGACCTTTTAGAAAAGAAGTTAACGATGTTCTAAAACATCTGAATCCGAACCCGAACTTGACCGAGCCTAAGAGTACTTCCATGATCGCCTATATACTTCAAGAAATGCTTGAGCAACTACTTAAATACTCAATGCGTGGTCTGAACTCGTTGGATGGTTTTCGAACTCGAACGCTGAGACCGAAACCAACCAGAACCCGAATGGTTCGGGTTCGCTGCATGCTTATCATCTACGTTTCATGTGTTTTCGAGTTCAAACCTAAAGTTGCACGGATATTTTACCTCCGAATGATGTTTACAGCTGTCGGTTAATGGGAGTTATAGATCACCAGGCAAAGGCGTACGTCAGAAAACAGACTGATCACAGTTTTTTCCTAACACCAAAGCTTTTGTTGGTTTTCGGTTTCGCGATTTGATGTTTCATCTTGAATTAGAATACTGATTACTGTAATAAGGTAGTTTAATTCGATTAGTAAGCTTCGTATATTAGGAAGTTATCGTTACACTCCAGCTAACTAGTAACTTTGCACTACTTGGAAAAGAAGTAAGATCTTCTAATGATTTAGTAGCACTTTCAATTTGGGATTTTTCGATCAAAGAAAGGGTATTTAGTGGAAATGACGCTAGTTCATAAAACTTGACTAAAGGTGTTTGGGTGAATGCATGACTGTTGCTCCCGTGATACTTACTTACTCCAATGACAGTTGCTGTCGGTACAGATGCTTCCACTACACTTGCTTCCCGAACAGTCGCTTCCCGTGCAATTTCCTGTCCAACGGCACTTTGTTGGAGCTTCTGGCAATCTAAAATCAATTAGAACTATACTGAAACTAGATAGAGACATATTCCTAACCCTCATACTATCCTTTACCCTTACTCTTACTCTTCCCGTCATCGTCAGATCTCTCAATGGCACGAGACCAAGTCAGCGGAAGAAACCGTCCCGAGAGCATGTATCGCTGAGGGGTGTCTATCGTTGATGAGCAAGCGTCCCAGGAGTACCTGCCTAGATCGGAGAGCCTGAATCTATACGTGGTTTCTCATCATTTTTCTGTTCTACATTTCGATTAGAACAAGCTTATTTCGCCAAAAAATTGGTTTTTCTAAAGCTCAACTGAAACCATTGCTAACCGATCATCGTAGGCTGAGAAAACTTAATTGAAAAGTTTCGAGGAACAGTTGATACATGCGAATTCCTCGACTCGGATACCTTCAGCCAAATTTCATCAACTCACGTTATTTCCACTAAATAAGTTTTCTTTGACTGAAAATTCCAAATTAAAAGTGCTAGTAAGTGATTGACAGATCTTATTTCCTTTCCAACTAGAGCTCCAAGTTCTTTTATTTTAAGTCCTTGTAATTCAGAGGTTTTTAACTCCATATTTATCCACTGCGTTTAAATAGTCCGTAGAACGTCGTTTTGGGTTGATCTGTTCTGCTCTGCATGATTTTTGTGGAATTCACATATATTTTTCTAGGAAAATAGTGCGTGTAACTTTCAAGTCGACGTTTTTAGGGCTCCCTCCCCCGTAGACCTTAGGACCGGGGTCGGAGGTCAATGGATCCGTTTTCCTTAGCGACAGATGGATCAATCTGAGTTTGGAACGCCTGTGATCTTGTAAAGTTATATCTAGACTATCGCGTTACATGAGATAACAATCAGCTCTTTAAAAGAGAAATGTAGTATGTCACCGGTGCATTGTATACTGAACCCAAAAGGTGTTTTGTTGAATAAAAAGTTTTGAAACAGATAATAGTTCGCTCTTTCAATTTTTCTTTATTTTACAGTTGTCACCACTACCACTGTTGCCGCCAATGCCACTGTTACCGCATGCCCCACCGGTTATACCGGATCACTTTGTTCAATACCCTTGTGCAATGGAGTTATAAATGGATGTTCCAATGGGGGGACTTGCACCGGTACGCCTAAGATTGATACTTTATCCACGGAACGTTAACTTACACGATTCTTCTCTTGATTTTATCAGCACCATCAACATGTACATGTGCAAGTGGATGGATTGGAGCGAGTTGCACAACTGGTATGTAAATAGAGAAATAATAACTGATCTTCATCTATTTTTCGAGGGAAAATAGTGCGTGTCAGTTTAAGTCGATGTTTTTGGGGCTCCCACCTACGCTCCCCTCCCCCATAAACCTTAGGAACCCGGGTCATTAGATTCGAAATATATGTTATTTTAGCAACAACAGCCGTCTGTTCATGTATATGTCAGAACGGGGGAACTTGTCTTACGAGCAACACATGTGCTTGTACAAGCCAATATACGGGTACTTGTTGCACATCGATAGTGTTCTCGGCTATCATGTGGCCTTTCGATGGAACTCTCAACGATTACTATGGCATATTTAATGCTGGCCCTGACAATGGCAGAACAGCGACCTATGTCTATCCAGGCTACACAGGTTATGGTGGTGCATTAAGTTTAGGGTTGCATGGCACGAGTCAATCAGTTTCCATTCCAACATTTCTCAGTATATGGCATGTTAGTTTCACATTAGAAGCGTGGATCTATCCAACAGCCTTTAGTTGGACCTATGGAGGAAATCCGGACAATGCTCTGTTCGGTCAATGTCAGTCGCAATCTACAGATCAATGTTTGCATATTATATTGAGAAGTCAGCGGATTTATTTTGGTTTCTACGGCGATGATTTGTCGGGCAGCATCGTATTTCAACCAAATCAGTGGTATCACGTTACCTATGCCTATGAACAAAGTACACAACAACAATACACCTATGTGAATGGAGTTAATGACGGACAGCGTACGAGTAATCAGTATAACGGACAGGCGGGAAATTTTACAAGTACGAGAAATATTTTTATTTGTTTCCATCTGAAAAGGAATTCAAGGTAGTCTATCTCGATTACTACTGTCGCAAAGATCTTTAGTTTCTTAGAATTCCGATGATTTCCAGATTGTATTTAATATGTACGTAAATATCTAAATAGCGCTTATGCCATTCGTAGTAGGAGGACGAAGAGTTGTATCAAGACGCGTTGTAATGAGTATGTTTAAATAACTTTTAACGTGTTCTAAGATATAAGTTTAGTGCGTTTTGTTTGGCAGTCATTAAATGTTTTTTAGTTTTGCATATTTGTAAAAGACGCGATCATTCAGCAACATCCACCAACACCCCAAACTGCATGAGACCATTCTAGATCGACGGAGCGCGCCAGATAATCCTACACCAACATCCACCAACATCCACTTGGACCTACAGCTGAGGTACCCTGAACGTAATACTACCACCAACAGCCACCAACGCTCAGGTGGACGGTTTTTTTTACACACTGATCCTCTCCGTAGTATTCAGGACGCTTAGTTACCTACAGAAACGTACGCACATCAGATATTTAGGGCCTACACCCTTCATCATGTACTTCATGCGAGGAACAGCACTTAGAGCTAAACGTTTTTTATTGATATCCACATCACAATACATCTATATATACAAATTCAAAGCTTCTGATTATGTGTCTTACATCTGTGAATTATGAAAATGATTATTCAGCGAAAAAAACCAAGTTTTGGTAGAGACTAGATCAACCGAGAATCGTAGATCACAAATGTTGTCATTGAAGGCGATGTAAAAGTGTGTGCTACGTTCTATAATATTGTGAAAGTGTAACAATTACTTCTCAGAGGCTGAAGGATATGGATTTGATAACGTTTATTGCATCGATAAAATGCGCATTAGACACCGTTAAGTCATCAGCAGTTGACTCGTCAGTTTTAAGCGTTCCACAAGCCACTAGATCCCGCTTCGTTGCACAAACACTGGCAGTTCTAATAAGCCGTTCAATTTGTGCCTCCTTCCAATCTTGAATTTCTTGAATAATTCTATCTAAGTTAACATTATGATGAAATTGCTGCTGTTTGCAAACGACGATTAATTGACGAAGCTAATGTACGTGATTCGATTTAAAACAGCATTCCCTCTCAGTCTTTATGCGAGATGGATGGATGGCTTCAGTTGAATAACCTTTTAATAATAGCAATGACTAACCGACCTAGTGCAATTGATCCTTCTCTTCTACGACCTGGTCGCCTGGAGATGCGTGTTAAAACTGAACTTCCCAACGACGAAGCACGTCCCAATATTTTGATATATATATAAAACGACTACTTCAAAAGAATCTGTTACATCATAATGTTAACTTAGACCGAATTATTCAAGAAACTCAAGGTTGGACAGGACACATATTGAACGGCTTGTTAGAACTGCCAACGTTTGCGCAATGAAGCGGGATCTAGTGGCTTGTGGGACGCTTAAAACTGACGAGCCAGCTGCTGATAAATTAACGGTGTCTAATGCGGATTTTATCGATGTAGTAAACGTTATCAAATCCATATCCCTCAGTCTCTGAGAAGAAATTGTTATACTTTCAGAATATTATAGAACGTAGCACACACTTTTACATCGCCGATGTACGTACATTTCTGTAGGTAACTCAGTGTCCTGAATACTATGGAGAAGATCAGGTGGATGTTGCTGAATGATGGCGTCTTTTACAAATACCCTTCATTTTCCATTAGCGACGTTGATGTTTAATAAATAGTAGAGTTTAATGAACTTAGCGAGACAGGTAAAAGTAAAGACTGGAAGGGCAAAACTGTGCCTTTTCGGTTTTTCTTCTGTTATAAAAACTAGTCCAAAGAACGCGTTCACGCTGACGGTCCACGAGAACGGTCGACTTTGGTTTTTTACCTCTGAAGTCAAATGTGCCAGTATCTCTTAATCTTTGAGCCTATGAGAAGTGACTTACTAGTGTAAGTATTCGCACATCCATAAATAGTAGAAAGCTCCTTAAAAATCGTAAAACCAGCCATTTTCTCGACATAGTCGGTATGTCAACTCAAATCAATGCTCCTAACAATTACTTCCAAGGTTATTTTGACCAAATGGCCATAGTCGCTTATTGCAAAACAGCTGCACAAATTCTGGATGACGCTACCCATGTTGTTTATTACAAATTCGACACAACACCCGGTCTAACCGCTGACAGTGGACCACTCTACATCAACGGTACAAGCAACGGTGTTTCACTGGCATCTTCACCATCGAAAGCCAACCAGTCACTATACTTTCCGAGCGGAACAAATTATTATCAATTTCAAGGGCTCACCTATTTTAGCACTTCCGGTTGGCCATACTCCATCTCGCTTTGGATATATCCTTTATCGCAATCCGGTGGCACGATCGTTCATGCCAGTGGTGGTTACGGCACAAATGGAGTCGGTAACACCGGCTGGTGTTTACCAATGTTGGGATTTTCATCTTCAGGTGTGCTCTATGCACAGTCAACAAGCTCTACATCGACGCTCATTGTCTTGACGGGACCTACAGTGGCACTGAACAGCTGGACATATGTTGCAATAACATATTCCAGTACAAACGGTCTACGCCTGTATATCAATAGTGTACTGCAAACTTCCAGTACAGCAGCATTTACATTTATCTCATCTGGATCACCGAATACAATTACATTGGGTAACGGGCTAACTGGTGCTACTAGTAGTTACTGTCCACAAGGATCAATAACAAGTGCACAGTATCAAGGTTATATTGATTCATTTAATCTGTATTCAAGAGAACTGACCACATCATATATATCAACATTATACACTACACCACAGCCTTGACATTGGGTTCAGCTAGTTCACCAACTAGATATCTACCGGCTCTGAATAAACGTTACTCACTATTTTTAAGCACAATGTATATTACAAACGACTTTCATCGACAGAAGCACTTATTAAGAAGAACTCTTTTTAAAATATAGAACCTCTGTTAGCTTTCTATATGATAGAATGAGATCTTCAAGATTATATATACACAAGTATAAAATAAATCTCAACCACATAATTCTAAAGATTGCCAAAGATTTCTTCAGGCATTTTTCGTTTACTTTTGTGTAAAACACTATTACGAAGCTGTCTTTTGGACGGTATTAATATATTCTTTAACGGTGGGCACAAACAAATGGGATAAAACTTGTTCACGATAGGCCCTTGTTCCATTGACTGTAAATCTATGATCATATAAAATAAAGTGTTTGTGTGTGCGTGTGTATTTGTCCCTACGGAGATGTGACGGACGTACATACATATAGTCATGTGGCAAAAATATCTCAAAACGGCCATTGTCTTTAGAATTGTTTAGGCCGCAGTTGGGAAAGTATTCCGATTTTTGACTCATATCTAGAATTTTTGAGTTAAAATTAAAAATTTTAAATTTCATCTTCTTTAATTGATAAGTAGACAGACCTAGAAACATGCTAAAATCTATACCAGTCGATAACGCTTGAAAAATTGAAGAAAGGTAGGCGGTTTCATATGAGTTTTAACAACTTCTGAGACGGGTGTTTTTATTCGATTTCCTTTGACAGATATAATCTAGGCTATATACTCTGATGATCGTGAAAATTTGATTAAACCCATTTTTGTTTGAATTGACCCTAAATTGGCTCGTAGTAGTTGAAATTGTTTCTCTTAATTACGCACAATAAATCTCGCCTTTTCCTACTCGTTTCCAGACTCCCGCTATAATCTATAGTTCAGACAACTATCCTAAATGTTACTTTTCACGAGTATTCATGTCTTTCAGTGCGGTGAAACAAAAAACTGAATAAACGTAGGCGGTTTGCAACAGAGATGGACGAATCAAGCTTTCCGAATCCGAGTCATTCCGTAGCGGCTTCGGGTCGAGTCAAGGTATTTTTGCCATTTTTTTCTAGTTTCTTTAGTTCCGAAGGTTTCTGGGAAACCTTTCTAGAAACTAAAGTATTTTCTATTGTTTTTTCCAAGATTTGTTGAGCTTTGCGGTATGCTGCTGATAAAACAAAGTATTTCCTGACATTTTGAACTAGGTTAGATGGATTTTGACTGAGTAGTGAATTATTTAATTTTTGATGAAAATAATGAAAAATGGGCTATTTTACCTAGAATAGGTTTTCGCTCCATTCTTGCAGCTTCTTCTGAAAACCAACATTGCCACGACATTCAGCATAGTCGAGATGCCCATCGACTCGCGAAAACCGCTAGTCGTCATCTTGGCGAGTCAAGTGAGAGTCATTAAAAAATGCGACTCGAGTCCGAGTCATCGGACTCGCCCAGCACTGGTTGACAAAGTTTCGTCAAAAACTCTGGAGGATCTCTAGGAGGCCTCGAGAAAACTTTCAAATGCCGCAGTTTGATGGAACTTTGTTGAGGAAGCCAAACGATAGCCCATTCAATTCTGAGTTGGATGAGGTGTTGGGCAACTCTCCATGATAAATTATTGGTGAGACAGGTGGCTTTTACCAAATATCTTACAGCAAGTTGACTTGAGACAGCTTTTTTGAATCGACCTCTCATGAAAGCCGCCTATCTCAACAGAGAAATATCATGGAGAGCTGTGAGACACCTCATTCAACTCAGAATTGAATGGACTATCTTTCGACATCCACAACGAAGTTCCATAAAACTGCGGTATTTGACGGTTTTCTCGAGTCCACCAGAGTTATTGATGAAACTTTGGCATATGAGTTTTAACAGCTTCTGAGACAAGTGTTTTTATTATATTTCCTTTTACAGATATAATCTAGGCTATATACTCCCGTGAAAGTTTGATTAAACCCATTTTTGTTTGAACTTTTTCGACTCTTTATAGCGAAATTCATTCTTATGGCCTATAGAACTCTCATTGGCGCCATACGAACCAATGGTTAGAATGTACAAGATGTAGTGTATCATATAACATAATTTAGCGAAACTACACTATTTCTTGAGCTGAAAATATTATGATTAAATTCAGCATGTCCCAGCATGTAGAATAAGCGCAAAGCAGATCAAAGAAGCCGCGTTCTGCACTAATTAAAATTAAGTGCGCGTAGATCATAGAAAAGGCGCCTAGCATGAAAGATAATCATACTAATTAGCTGATTTTCTTTGTGCAACGACTAATTCGAGATACGCGCATATCTGAAAGAATCCAAGTGCTGTTCCAAGAAAGTCACGTATTGTATCCTCCACGTTTTCCAATGGTTTAAAATTCGTTTTTTAAAGTCTGGTTGCATCATGTTTTACTGGGACTTTTCTTCGAGAACATGATGTAATCAAGCTTCCCGAAAAAGTTATTTTAGTGGAAATCATGACTGAAAAACGCAAAGTTTTGTTCTGCCACCAACTCGCCAATAATAGATAAGCCTCAAATTAGTATGAACATACAGTAATTTCGAATTATCAACTTTTTGCATGATATTCCGAAAGAAAAAACCGGGTAAAACATCGTGCAATAACTGGATAATTCAGTTCTTCACAGAGCTATTAATTTAAGTTATTTTATTCACGAAAATCGAGAGTCATCACAGGTCCGCTACCTACAATAAGGATGACTAAAACCAAAGAGAAACAAAGTAACAAAAAAAAGGATAGAATAAGAGATATAAGTATCAAAAAAGGGGAACTATAAATACGTTCTTCAAAAAAAACCAAAGGGACGGCTGGGCTTCTCAGGAAAGCTCTGAAGTTTTTCTTCAAGCAGCTGAGGCATTGATTTCACCGTGTTTTACCCAGAGTTTTCTTCGGGAACATGACGCAATCAAGCTAGGCCATTCACCTCAGGTTCACTTAGACAATGAACTCAAAATGAGCGCACAGCAATTTTATTTCTGCTACTCTATAGCATAAAGTTTATACACTCTCAATTGCTATGTACTATTGTGAAATTATTGTTCAATTCATTCAAATTTTCATATCACTTTCATATATGATGCGCGTGTTCACTGAAAAAGAAAAGGGCATTTTTCTCTTTGCATATCACATGCCGTTTGTATACATATATAGGTCATATAGTCTATTTGATATAGACCTGTATGACCTAAGTCTGTGTGACCTAAAAACTCTATTTAAGCCATACCACAAAATATAAAAGTATCAACGAAATATAGACTTCTTGTAAAAAAAGACATCTATGTTTTTCTTTCTTTCTTTTCTCTATTTACGGTGTATTTGCGTGTGCATAGAGTCAGTGTTCATACAACTGACACAAGTTTTATTCTTTCAGTATACAACGGGAAACATTTCCCTTATAGCATTTGAAAGTAAACCTGTCGAAAATGCACAAGCTATTTTCGAAAAACTCAGCCACATTACGTTTCTTTTTAAACTACAGATAAAGCGCTTTTATATGTATCAAATCATCAGCGTTAGTGCCATTTCTGTAAAATTCTCACAATTTACAGAGCAGTTTTCTTTTACATTAGTCTTATTAAGATCTTGACTTGAAGAAATACAGGTTTTATTTTTCTGCTTAATAAATCTTGTTTCTTGTGCAAGATTCCAGCTTGAGTCGAAGAACTGAAAAATGCAGAAATATTTCAGTTAAGAAAGCTTTCTCCGAAGTACTTTCCTAGAAGCACTGGGACGCTAATTTCATCACGTTTTACCCGACTTTCTCTTCCCCAAGCCATATGAAAAAAAAAACTTCTGAGACACGTGTTTTTATTCGATTTCCTTTTATCCATATAATCTAGGCTATATGCTCTGGTGATCGCGAAAGTTTGGTGAAACCCTTTTTTGTTTGAACTTTTTCGACTCTTTATAGCGAAATTCATTCTTATGGCCTATAGCAACGCTCTCATTGGCGCCATAAGAACCAATGGTTACAGTATGCAAGACGCAGCGTATCGTATGTAACAAAATTTAGCGAAACCACACTATTGGTATGTGGTCTACTGACATAATCTGCTGCACGAATCTGATTTTATTGTGCAATGCACTTCCATAGATATGTCACTATGTCCTCTAAGTCGTTAAAAATTACGGTGAATGAATCGAAAAGAATCTTGTATGTTTAAAATTCTTTTGAAAAGAGAAACAATACCTGAAAATATCTCGTGGATTCCTTACAA